TAAATCAGGTTTGGCACATAGATAACAACAGCAACAGTCAACAACAGTCAGCCAGAGAGATGGAGAGATGGAGATGGAGACGGAGACTGAAGCTGAGACAGACCAGAGTCAGAGCCAAATGGCAGAGTCTATCAATGAGTATCTGTGTCTGTCTGCATCTATGCATGTATGTGTGTGTGTGTGTGTGGTGTGTGGTGAGAGCTTTTACCGCAAAATTCGCGCGTGTGTTTAACACCTTTCGCGCCCCCTTACTCTCTGGAGCGGCCGCCTCTCGTCGAACAGTTAAATAGTTGGTGCCGCCACACGGTTTGGTTCTGCTCTGCTCTGGCGTGGGCCCAGAGTCAAGTTCTCACAGTGGCAGTGGCAGAGATCGGTGGCAGAGTGGCAGAGTGGCAGCTGCTGCAACACATAATCAACAGCAACTGCTGAACTACTTACCCACTGGGGAGGCCAAAAACTGGCGGTAATTGATGGCCAGATCTGAGTTTTTTTTGTGGCGGCTGCTGCAGCTGACAACAAGTGGCAAGTGGCAGAGATACGAATACGAATACGAATACAAATACGAGTGCTGTGGCAAAGCTCCTTAATTTGTTGAGTGACCAGCCGAACAAACAAACAATCAGATTCTTGGCCAAGATTTGGGTTAAGATTGATTTCGGGGCTCCTTGACTCAAGTCAAAATCAAGGATCAATCCTTTCCGAGACATTCGAAAGAACTTTGCTTTCGAAAGCATTTGATTGAAGATTGATTGAAGAGATTTGTTTTATTCTTAGCAGGAATGATCAGCAGTTCCTTAAATTAAAGTCAAGCCAATGCAAGCAAATCGTCTCTCTCTGAAAATAGCTATTTAATCAAAAAAATCTAGTCAAAACTAGTTGCAACTAAGTTTAGTCAGTGATCTTCAGAGCCCCCCACCTCTTGCCTCAGTGAAACATAATTACCAACAATTAGATACAAATAAATATCATTAGAAGTCTGCCAAATGCAAATCAAATTGAAGTTACGCCACCCTCAGACCATTGTCCAATTATTCTTAACCACCTTTGATCAGATATCTTTCCCGAAATTTGATTTGCGTGCCGATAAAGCCAATACATACATATGTATCGTACATGTATACACTCGTAAATTAACTAGTCGTTTTCTTGTGGTGTCATGCAAAATAATTTACGAATTATGATTGCCTAATCCCCCGGTAATCAATCACGCCGCCACTCCACTCCACTCCACAGTCCACACACAAAAGACAAAAGACTCAGGCGACAAACTTGAGGCGAAGACCAAAGCCAACGGAACAGAAAATCCATAAATAAAATCGTTAAAAATCAGAATTTCTTTTTTGGCTAAAAAATGAAACAAAGAACAAGCTAAAAATGTAATAAATAAAATACATTTAAAGAACTGGGGACTGCCTTTTCATTTCAACCATCATTTATTTATTTGGAAGTGTATAGCCAGCAGCTTCTTTGGCTCTTTCGCTGCTGCTGCTGCTGCTGCTGCTGGTGGTTCTGGCCTGGCCAATGAACTCCAGCAATGAAAACGAAATGTATAAAAAACGAAAACAACAAGAACTCAAAAGCAGCCACGAAGAAGAACCAACAAAAAAAAAGAGCCGCGGCGGCAGAACCCAAAAAAGAGATACAACCGAAATGTTTTTTTTTTTTCTCTTTTCTTTCCCTTTTTCTTTTTTTTTTTGTTTAATTTTTGTTTTTTTTTTTTGGTAAGAAGTCAATGAACTTGTTCTGCCGGTGCGTGTGTGCGTGAGCTTGAAATAAACTTGGCTAACCGAAAAAACGAAATGAAATGTAAAGAAAAGAAATGATTGTAGCGCCCAAAAAAACAAAAAACAAAAAATGTGAGAGAGCCACCAGAAAGAGCCATCAAAAGCGGGCACAACGCGGGCTCTGACACTGGCCGTGGCACTGACTGTGACTCTGGATGGATGATGAGTTGGCCAAGACACCATTAAGCCGGGCCGGGCCGGGGGACAGCTGTGTGTGCGTCGATGCCGGCTTTTGGGCCCCTGCGTAGGCCCCGGCGTATCCGTGTGTATCTGTGCCTGTGTTTGGGTGTTAAATAACACAGGGGCAGAGGCCCCAAAAAAATATATTTGTGTTTTTGGCCGGGCCTAAAACGCACTTGTTGTTGACTGTCTTCTGCTTTCGGCCTAAACGACTCTATATTTATTTAAAAATTATGCTTACCATTTTATTTCCCCCTCCCCCCCCCCCGACATTTACTTTCCATTATGGTCGAAGTTTTTTGGGGGAGAGATGCGATATACTAGAACTTGTTATGGATTTGGGGAATTTCGAGACGCAAAAACACTTTTATTTATTCTGAAAGTTCTTTCCTTTCGTGATTAGAGCGGATGATATAATGAATGGCATAATCATGCTGAAATGTCAGTTCTATTTGGAGATCCCTGAAACTGTGGAAGATTTCCAGTTTGTTCCTTCCTTAGACAGCCCCTGAATGATGAGATAATAGATACTTACAAAAACTACTTTTATTGATTCTTTCCTCTTGAAAGTTCTTTCCATCTTTGGATACTTTTTTCCAAATGAATGATGATATAATATATTCTTGCAAAACAAAAAAACACTTTTATTTAAACTTTCAAGTTCTCTCCTTTCTTGGACAGAGCTCAAAATTAATGATATATTAAATATTAAAATTATGCTCATGCTCATGCTCATGCTGATGCTCGTGTGGTATTTAAGAATTTATTGACCCCATCGCTCACAGTTTTTGCTTTCAGCCGCAAGAACCAACGAAAGAAAAAAAAAAAAATTGGGTTCTAATGACCGAAAACAAAAAGTTATAATCCCAGTTGCTACAAAGTTTCTTTCGGGTTTTGTTTTTGTAAGAGAACTTTGTTGAATGCTTCAATTGTTATTTATAGAGAATGATGGTAGTGCCAAACGGAGTGTGGCCAAAGCTAATGAGCGTCTGCCTGTCTGTCTATCCGTCTGGCCGTCTGTAGGCCTTTTTTCACCCCAAAACGGATGCGGATTTGTCTCTTAATTCGCATGGAGGCCTCTCCACTCTCCACTCTCCACTCTACCTGTATCTTTTGTCTTAAAGCCTTATGGCTCTGTGGCCACCCTTTGTCTTTCCCTCTCAAGCGTAAAGTTCAAGGTTGATTCGGCGTCGTGTCTTATTATTGATCGCACCCCCCTCACCCCTCACCAGCGTCCATGTTAATTACATTTTAGTTATGTAAATGCTCGTTTTTCAATTAGTTTTCGTTAATGTCTTTTGTGCGGCGCGTATTATCATGATTTGGCATTTATTATCCATCCAATAGATTGTTTCTATTTCTATTTCCATTTGTATTTGTATTTGTTTGTTCCTTTTGCAGGTTTTATGACCATTGGGGAATGGGGATTGTGAAGAAGTTTGGATCGTTGGGTAAGTGCTTTACACATTATTTATAGCGCAATTTTATTGATTTCGATTAGATCATGAATCGGCAGTGAGTCACTGCATGACTAGCATATCCCGTTTATTTTGGAGATTTGTTTGAAGTTAAGCTTTTGCTTTTGCTTTTACTTTTACTAGAGACATACATAGTATGTACTTCGTGCATGAACTTTGGTGTTGGGTTAACGACTGAGATCATTTTTTGAGTCGCCAGAGAATTCGGATATAAAACAATCATACAAAATGAACCGATCAGTAGCAGATGCTACAATCTGATACACAGATAAAATAATTCTTAATGATTCAACTTCAAAACGAAATGCCTTGCGGATGGCATAGGCTTTCATGATTTGTGGCAGTAAATAAAAGGAACAAAAAGTCATCATAAAAGCACCTTGTAAATCTCTCGTTGTCGCCTTGTCACTTCCCCTTTTTAAGCGGCCAATTGTTCGGATGCAATTATATAGCCCGCCTAATGAAATTTGATATGCCAAAAAAAAAAAAAAATAAAAATAAAAACAAACCAATTACATGCAACAGCCGCTGCCATCGACCACTGACCACCGCTGACTTCTGGCCAAGAGAGTGAAAGAGTGAGCGGGAGAGAGAGAGAGCGGACAGCAGGAGAGTGCTTTGGAAACGGGTTAAGAGAATCGAGAACAAGTGGCCGATCGGTGTGCGGGTCGGTCGGTTGCGCTTGGCTTGCGCAGAATTCTAAACTTGTTAGAAGAGTCCGACCGTCCGAGACCCCAGGCTCTGCTCTGGCCGTGCTCTGCTCTGCTCTGCTCTGGCGCTGCCTTGTTGTAATTTTACGCTCCCATGCTCAATTTACTGCTACCCCCCATCCGCCCTCCCCCATCCCCCGTTCCCCCCATTCCCTTGTGTGTGTGTTAGAGACGTTTAGAACTATTTTATGCGAAAAAGAAAAAGAGCAGCAAGCGGCAGTGCTGTGGCTGTGGCTGTAACTGTGGCTGTGGCTGTGGCTGTAGTGGTGCTGCTGCTTCTGCTGCTGCTGCTGGTTCCAATGCCAAAGAGATACCTGCGCGCGCGCGCTCACCTTGAATGAAAGTTCTGGCCTGTTGCGCGCTCACACACAAAGAAAGAGAGGAGATAGAGAGACAGGCAGACAGAGAGAGCCGTGCCGTGCCTTTCCGTGCCGTGCCGAGCCGAGCCGAGCCAGTCAAAGAGAGATCTCTTCTCTCTGGCAATTGTATGGGTGATCAAGAACCTGAGACACCTGAGCGGCTGCTGTTACCTCTCTGTATCTCTGTCTCTCTCTATCTCTCTCTACCTCTGCCTCTGCCTCTGCCTCCATGTGTGCGTGTTTCTGTTTGAGAAGAGAAAGAAGAAAGAGAGTGTATTTGTATGCGGTGAATGGGTGTGTGCGTGTATCGTGTAATGAAATGTCTGAAAAGTCTATCTGTCTGCTCGACCGCTGTCGCTGCTGCTGCCTCAGTCGCTGCCACTGCCACTGCCACTGCCACTGCCACTCAGAAGCCTCTAACGACATCGACATTGAAGTCGCACCGCGACTCATCCGTAGTTTCAGTTTCCCGTAAGCAACAAAACGATCGAGACATGGTTTCGTAAGACCCGCACGCTTTATTTTTTTTTTAAAAGACAGAAGATACAATTTCAATAACGTTCTAAAACTGTCGAAAGATACTTATTTTTACAAGTGAAACAAAGTGAAACCCTGAACAAATTCTCCCCGGTGCAATCAAAGGGAAGAAGAAAGAGTTAAGAACAAGTGACATCCAAACATAAGACTGCCCCAAAAAAAAAATATCCATCTACATAAATCTTTAAGTTAGTTCAATTCCCACCCACAAACAAAACATCCAAACAATGTTTATCGGTATCATGAGGATTACAAAGCGTCGATCATAATTGACACTTGAACCGCTTTTTGGATTGGATTGGATTTATTGCGTAATGGATTTAAATTTAGCCGCCACACCAACAGCATCCACAACAACAGCAACAGACACCCTATCCACAAGCAGCTTCACACTCAGCTCCAGCATCACGGAACGGATATGCAATTAAACAATGAAAATGGTGAGTACTACTACTTAGACTTCGACATCTAATTGATTTATTGCCAATGTTTTGCTTTGTTTTTTGCCACACTTTTCCATATCCATAAGTTATATTCCCAGCTATATGGTTGACAAGGTAACGATGGCTGGGCTCTGTGCAGTACAGAGCGAGAGGTTTTTATCTGTTTATTTTATGGAACATACATAGATACTATAGATGGTGGGTTGGTTCCTTGATCCACGAAACGAAGGGAATAACTTTATGAAACATCTTCCGAAAGTTCTGCAAAGCCAATCACATTGATGGTCAAATCAATTTTTAGGTTCTGTTCTTACAGATTCCATAAAAAGATGGCTTTTAATGACTAGATTGTATCGGATAAAGTTTGAACCAAAAGATGGCTAAAGATAGAAAGACCAAGAGGCTTCCCGAAAGTTCTGTAAAGAAAAGCTTTCTTATGGGATAACTGGCCAGGGCTTGGGGAAAAACTTAATTACTTTTCTTCTCTATGAGGTATTTGTGGGTGGGTATAGCCTATGCATAGCCTATAGAAATGACATAAGAAGTGAGTGCATCTTCAGGAATATGTGTCTATAATTTATGCATTTCCAAAGTTCCTTTCCTATAGAAATTGATTGGGATATCATCTTTTATATCTTTTACCTAATATATTCGCAAAGGTGATTCTTAGGTAATTTCTAATTTCCAGTTAGAACTTTTTACACACAAAAAACTTCTCCTATAATTTATGCTTAGATAATTTTTCTTTATTCATCATTTTTTATTGACATCTTAATCACTTCATTTACTGTTGAGCTGTATTCCTGATTTTCTACTGCAACCCCTGGGACCCTCTGCCCCTAGGAGAACCATCTCTCTTAGAACAATCATAATTTATGACTTGTGTTTAATTTTAACCATGATGTTCGTCAAAGAAAGTCTTCGGTTACTGCGATTTATGTTAATCAGAAAATTTCGATAGAAATGTTATATAATAATCCGCCACACCGCATTGGGGGGCGCAAACACGTTTCCAAACAAAAAGCCCCAAAAAACAAGGCGAAGGCTAAGGCGACGCCGAAGCCGATGCCGATGCCGATGCCGAAGAATAGTGATTAATTACAGACAGGCTAGAAAAATGGCATAAGCAGCAGACGGCTGGTGGGTTCTTGGGTCCGTCGACGAAGAGAATGCTCGAAATGGGATGATGATGGGAACTGGCATTTCATTAGAAAACTTTTATACAGACACAAACGTATATCCAGCCCCCTCCTGTCTTTCCATACGAGAATATATAAGGTTTTTTAATAATCACATCAGCAAAAACAAAAATAATTAGACAAAACCTGTTTGGGCTTAAACAAACAACAACAAATGGGGGGGTAAAGAGTGAAGAGGAGCTACACAACGAGACATATATGAGCAGGTGAGAGAGAGAGAGAAGGAGATATATAATATATATATATATATATATATATAGTATGAGTAGAGCAAAAGGGAGAGAGAGAGAGGTTTATATAGGAGAGACAGAGAGATAATTGGCGACGTAAGGCAGAAAAACCTTGACTTTGACTTTAAATGACTCTCGACAGCCGACGATCGGCACGCTAACACGCTCCAACAGAAGCAACAGCAATAGCAACAACAACACCAACAACAACAACAATAACAATAACAAATAAAAGCTATAAAATATTGTATAAACAAATAAATTGCAAATGAAATCGAAACGAAACGAAACGAGATGAATGAACAGATCCCCCACCCCAAAAACCATTAACCCCCTCATTTCGTTTAGAATTTGTAATTCAAAGATACTTTCAATATCAAGGTCATTAGCTGCTGCTGCGGCTGCGGCTTCTGTTGTTGCAGCTGTTGAGGGGCCCACCACCTGCTCGGGGGCCGAGTAGCCGAGTAGCCGAGCCGTCAATCTGTTGAATCCGATTCCGAATGGCGAATACCAAATGAGTTATATATCGACGGCTATGAGCTATCTTCTATAGCTCTCGGTTCAGATGGATTTTTGCAATTTAAATGAGCTTTTGAGACGGTTGTTGGGGCGTAAGCTCTAACATTCTATGAGCTATGACACGCGTGGGGCGTCGGGCATGGGGCGTGGGGCGTGGGGCGGTCGGCTGTCTATTCCTCATCTTTCTTCCGCTGTAATTCTTTTTGTTGTTCCTCTTTTTTATTATTTGGCACGCATGCCGAGAGTTCATTGACTGCCACATTCTCTATTCCCCATCACCTCCGTGCTCTTCCCACACACACACAAACACACACATACAAAACAAAAGACTTAGGCAACAAACTTGCCTTCCTTTGGGTTTTCGTTTTCATTTCAGAGAAGGAGTTATTTCTGCCAGGGATAGCGAGAGAGAGAGAGAGAGAGAGAGAGAGAGAGAGACAGAGGCCAAGGACCTAGGCTAAGAATTAGAGAATCCCCCTTTGGAGGTGCAGCTCCAACAAAAAGTGAATCTGCCGCTGCCGCAACGCCAGCGAAAGAGACATCCATCCCGTGGCAGCAAAAGCGCCAAAGACCAACGAACAGGAGAGAGGGAAACCAGTTCAGTTTCCACATATTCTGTTCTGTGGGCATCATCCTTGGGCAAGGGGCTGGGTTTGGGGCAGGTTGAAGTTGCAACAACACAGGCCCCCCCCCTTCCTCCACCTCCACCTCTCTCTCTCTCTCTTTCCCTCTCACTCACTCTCTATGGGGGTACAGGCATCGCGAATCGGGAATCATTTGCCGTGAAAAGGGCGTTCAACTGGCAAATGCTCATGGATGGGCACATGGCGTGCCCCCAGCTCCAGCTCCATCTACAGCTCCAGCTCCAGCTCCAGAGGTTCTTGCTCTCAACGTGTTCTGCTTCCCCCTCCCATTCTTCTGCTGTTGCAGTGTGTTCTTCTTGTGGTTCTGCTGCAGTCACTGCAGTCTTCTTCCTCCTCAAAGACCCCCGATGAAAAGGGAATCAAATCACTCTTACTCTTGGCCAGCTCAGGGTTATTGACTTTGGTCTTACCTTGGGCCCCATCCCCGGTTCCAGCTCTGCCTTGCCTTTTGCTTTCTGCCTGTTGCCTGCAATTAGAATTGTTGCTGCTGCTTGCCACTTGCCTCCACTGCTGCTGCTGCCACGCACAGGCACAAGACCTGCCAAGTCATCCGAGCAGCCAGCAGCCAGCAGCAGCCGCCAGCCGCCAGCCGCCAGCCTCCCAAGAAACCAGCTTAAGAGAGCGTGCAAGAGAGAGATCGCTGTCTCTCAAAAGAGTGCGCGCCAACACGCCAACGCACGCACAGGTGGCAAGCAGCAAAGAGAGCGCACGAAACCAGGAAGAAAGTGTGGCCAGTCCAAAAGAATGAAAGAAGTAGAAGCAGCAGCAGCAGCGACGGCACAGACGCAGATGAAAAGAAAACAAGTTCAATGACCGACCTACTCAAGCGCGTTATAACCAAAGCATACACACACACACACACACACATACATACTCGTACACCTGAGAAGAGAGTGAGAGAGGGAGACAGTCGGCGAGCGAGAGAGAGCGAGCTAGCGCAACATGCAAGACACGAACGAACACGAAGAGCACAAGCGCATGCGCCCGAGCTCGAATTCGAGTTCGAGTGCGAGTTCGAGTTGGAAGCCGAAGTCAAAGCCGCGTTTTGAAGAGTCCGTCCCCTTGACGTTGAACTTTGTTGCTGTTGCTGTTTCTGTTGTTGTTGCTGCAGGCGACAGGTTCTGTGTCATCGTTGTTGTTGCTGTTGCTGGCTTCACACTATCGTATTTAGCTGTAAATTCTTACATTTTTGTTGTTTTTCTGTGCATTGACTGTGACATTGCGGAGCCGATAAAAGACCGTCGGCCCGATCATTGATGCCCATTGAATATGGTGTTTGGAGGGGGGGGGAGTTACCTCTCTCTCCCTCTCTCTCTCTCTCTCTCTCTGTCCCCCTCTCTTTTGATTGTTGGATATCAAATTATGCTCATTTACGCGCCTTGCATACGTAATACGTGCTCCACCCTGCTCCATCCGAGAGGTTATGGGCCCCAGTCGTAATTTGACTATGACAAAATGGCTTTTTATTAACTAACGGTACATTCTCGGGCTGTACTTTTGCTATTACTTTTTGGTTTTACAGTTCTTTTTGTGTGTGCTTTGTCGCTGGCCATTAAAAACGTGCCTGGAAAACTCAACTAATTTGCTCCCCCGGTCGTCGGTTCGGCTAGTTCTAAGCAAAGATTTTAACTCCGAAGAGGTTCTTAAGACTTGGCTTTGGCATACTCCTAATGTCCATGGCCCAGACATTTCCGGCTTTTGCTCTAGTTCATTGTCAATGGTCAATTTGTGAGCGAGAATGCAAGATATCCCTTGGCTCAATGGGAGAGAGTCAGGGAGCATGCGTTATGGGAGAGAGTGCAAGTGCATGGGAGAGCTTTTCGTTAGTCTGCAATGCACTGAAAGAAATTACTTCAAAATTTCCACAACAAATAATAAGGATCTCAAAGGGTATACCTATTGGATTAGGGTATATTTACTTGTAAAAGTAAATTAGTAGAGACACAACTCCTTTTTATGACCTATCCCAATATTTTTTGCTACTTTCAAGAGCTTCTCTACTCCCGCCCCGGTGTGCCTGAACATGCACAAAGCCAACCCTGCAAGGCTGCACTTGCACCCGAATCGAATCGAACCAAAGCTTCGGCACGAGCACGAAAGCAGCACGAAGCCGAGTGCCGCCCTTGCTGGGGCTGCTGGGGCTGCTGCTGCTGCTGCTGCTGTCACCCTTCGGTTGTTGCTATTGTTTTCGAATGCGCGAGTTCAGGCCGTGCCAAGTGCAAGTGCCAATACCTCGACCCGTTTCCACACACACACCCGCCCCTCTTGCCCACTGCTTACTGTCTCTGCACTCTGCAGGCGTCGCAGTCTCTGCTTGCGTTGACTGCAGCAGCGACTGGCGGCTGCTGCTGCCGCTGCTGCTACTGCTGTTGCCTCGACCATCGCACGGAGCTCGATTCAGTCCT